CCTGACCATCTATTAGATACCGGTAGTCACAATACCACAGCCTCCTAAACCACATCTATCAACCTCTTAACTATATAACATGTGTATCCTACTGACCATCTATTAGATACCAATAGTCACAATAACACAGCCTCCTAAACCACATCTATCAACCTCGTAACTATATAACATGTATATCCTCCTGACCATCTGTTAGATACCAATAGTCACAATAACACAGCCTCCTAATCCACATCTATCAACCTCGTAACTATGTAACATGGGTATCCTCCTGACCATCTATTAGATTCCAATAGTCACAATACCACAGCCTCCTAAACCACATCTATCAACCTTGTAACTATGTAACAATTTATCATCATCATCATTCTATCAATCCATCATTATCATCATCATCATCATCATCATCATTATCAACAACATCATAAGTCTATCAATCTATCATATTCATCAGAAACATCATCCTATCATCATTATCATCAACATCGTCAATCTATCATCATCATCATCATCATTCTATCAATCTATCATCATCATCATCATCATCATCATCCTATCAATCTATCATCATCATCATCATCATCAACAGATGCATCCTCAATAATCATCAATACATCAATCACACGCTACCATTAATATATATATGTTCTTATACATATAAGAATAGATATTGACAACCATACACAAATACTCATCCCACCATATATTCTGATAAACATACACCTCACACACACACATACACCATACAAACAGACTTGTAGAGAGAGAAAGAGAGAGAGAGAGGGAGAGAGAGGGAGAGAGAGGTCCCATAACAATGCACATACATGTAAATAGTTTTACTTTATTCAGAAGTACATATGTATTTTAAAGAATAAGAGAAACATGGCAAAGTCAAGGCTTGGGATTCAGGAAAAAATACATATTTATAGGATGACAGGTTATAATTCCAGGATGGGTTTCCATTTTCTCCGATCAATTTCAAATTTCCTTCTTATGTAACTGTTTTTACTATTGTTAACATAGTTCTGAACAAGGAAATGGTCTTTGATGACATTGATAAGTGCATTGAGACTCGAAGATTTGTGAAGCCATCTAGTCTTATATATATAGTGTTTGATAAGAATTAAAATCTCATTATCAACAATACTCGCTCGTGGTGATAATATTCCAAAAAGTAACGATTCTTTATTTATTAAAACAGGGATAAGAAGAATGTCACAAAGAGTTTCAAGTCTCTGCAGTAGTCCCTGCACTTCTTGACATTCCAATAAACAATGAACTATAGTTTCTCTTTCCATATTACACAGATTACATAAGGGACTAGGATTTAAATTTGTTTTGAAAAGAAAAGGGTTTGTTACTAGAATATGGTGTAAAATTCTAACTTGAAACCACTGCAATTTTGAATTTTTTGTGACTGTAAATGGAATTTTTTACAGAATTTTAAGTTTTTTCTGCAATTTATCAATATCAAACTCAAACTCATTCAATTTCCTTACCCCAGTAGGTGTTGAAGCTGGTGTAATCATGTTGTTATAGAAGTCTTTAGAGCCTTTTTTATTCTTGAAGAAAATTTTAAAAAGAAGAGGTATAAAAGGTTGCGATGGTCTTTCTATCTTAAAATCATATTTCCTAAGGAAACGCTTGGCTGATGAGACTAGTCCTTGGTACTCGAGAAAGTTTGTGTTAATTCGAAAAATATGAAGAAATTCGTTAAATGAATAAAAAGTCAAATTATTAGGGTTTTTAACAAGGTGGTCGTTCACTGTAAATACTGATGCCTTAAACCAGTTTGGATAAAAAACAAAATTATTTCCTACTTGTATATCTGTGTTATACCAGAGTGGAGTTTTTAAGACAGAATCTTGTCTAACTTCCCTCATAGAGCTAGAATTATTCAGTCTTACCCAACCTTTAAAAACATCCTTCCAAAAATCATTTTGGCAGTTAGATCCACATGTACGAATGTATTCTTTACCACAATTATGCAACTTTTTTACATCTATAATCAAATTTAAAAGCAAATTCCATTTTCCTGATGACTGAGGTACTCTTCTTACCCAACCTAGCTTCAGAGAATCTATAAAAGCATGTACATCAACCATTTTCAACCCTCCATCTATATAACTTTGAATTACTACATCTTTTTTTATTTTATGGGGTTTGCCATTCCACAGGAAATCAAATAATAAGGAATTCAGCTTTGCAATATACCTTTCAGGTGGGTTTGGCAAGGTAATAAAAAGATAATTAAGTTGAGAAATTAACAAAGACTTTATGATATTGATTTTACCTATTGGAGTCAGACTCCTCCTATTCCATAAATTTATAAGAGATTTGAGTTTCACAATTTTTTTTATCAAGCTTGGGGTTGCTCACTACTCTTTTTCCTGTCTTAACCCATCCTGTAGTGACATGCATGGAGTAAGACCCTGGGTTGTAACAGTGTTTGAGGGTGAATACATATATAGAATTGTTGAATGCTAGCTATGAGTGCCAAAATGGCAGCACTGGCTGTATGCTACCCAGGAGTTGAGAAAGGTATTGGCTGGTTGCAAAAGCCTTATAACCATGGATCATAATTTGTGAACCGCTTTGAGACAACCTACGAACTAGGTTGTGATAAAGCGGTATATAAGAACCTCAAATTATTATTATTATACAGGAAATAGTGCGACAGATATGGGATGATAGTCACTTGTAGCTTCACATTAGAGGTGATTTAATTTTAGCGTGTCAGACAGGAAAGCTGGGGGCGACTCGTTCCATCCCCAGCAAACTTCTCTCTTTCCTGTATTAATTTATCTGGACCAATTATCGAGACTCAACAGTTACTTTTATGGCATTGCACATCTGCTCCAACGTGTATTATCAAAATTCACACAGCACATCAACATGCATATTGTTGTAAAAGCCAAACATGTGTCACAAGAGAAAGAAAAATGCTACAACCAGACCAAGATTTGAACCCTGAACCCTCCCAACTCTACCAATTGAGCTACCCGGTCGTCGATGATCGTCCCTGTCTAGTTCAGCTACATTCGTTTGTCCTTTTTCTAAATCTTCACTCGGAAGACACAACTTTACAACCCCGGTTTGGGTATCCCTTCCCAAGTTTTATTCACCCATGCATGGCCAGTATCTGAAACATAGGTTGGCAATCTCGCCAATTACATAATAGGAGAATTGAGAAAATGCATGGCCAGGCTAGGATTTGAACCTGGGATCCTCCAAAATCTAGACAGATAAGCATGCTCTACCAATAAAGTTACAGTACCTGGTCGCTGACAATCAACCCTGGGTCAAATTCCGCTACACATGTACATGAATAACCACAACTGAAACAGTCATACCTGCTCCAAACCTGGTAAGTGTATCATGTTTGCATGAGTGAATATGATAGACTTACATATGCAATGTCTTAACACTATTTAGACCACTGCACAAAATCTGTTCAGACTGTATTAGTATAAACACACATTTGCAGTCATCATGTACAGGTACATGCATATGTACCACATTAGACACATTAATTGCTATAAGCTGCACTACTACACTTGAGTACTTACATAAATATATATCAAGTAACCTCAAGTGTCGCTGTTAGTCACTTTACAGTAAAATGTCTGTATTAGGAAGTTCTGTCCTGTATACTGTATATGAAGCATAAATGTGGCATGACAGCAACAGTTAAATTATGATTTTAATAAGTAATCATTTTGGGCTGAAGTGTTGTCTTTCCACACTTCTTGGTGTATGTCATATGTAGGTAAGATAAGACTACATGATGTACGTTGCATATCACAGAGGATCAGGCTAACATATAAATGAGGTTTACTAGTACTGTAATAGTGTTCGTATATATGTGTACTGGGAAACTGAATCATATATGAATGACCTATTTTTATCGCAAAATACACATCGTCCAGAGTTAGGATATCCCGTGGAATCATACAACACAGTAAAAATAAAGCTACCACAGCAAGCAACCCCAACGCGTTCCACACAAATGCACATTGACCAGTGTAAATAACAGGGACGATTTCTCTCTCGACACAACCCCGACCTTGTTATAAACGGCGAAATGTAAACCGACACAGCTATAAGGGCAAACCTAATACGTTTAAACAATATAGAGTTCCTAGAACGACATCATGAAACGTCCAGACACTCACACGTTTTCATCTAAAGACCGTTTGGGTGTATGCTTTCATGTAGCCAAGATACATGCATCTTATTTTTTTAGGTTCTGAAAATGAGAATATTCAGCTACGAATCCACTTCACCATCACGTGGCTGTTACATTACCTACCTTTAAGTTTATGGATCAGACGGGCCCTTCATAGTCTCTCTGTATCCATTATCTGAACAGGTTTGTAACCACATGATCCATTTTTTATTTATTTAGGATTTTCTTCTGAATAAAATCTACATTCATCGGTCGAAGCCATCATCCGCCATGTTGAATCTGATCTTCATTCCATATATGGAAGTTTTTGAGTAATGTCTAAAAGTCGGAACCAAACTTCCGGAATTATTTCGATTTTTTTACTGTGTTGTACTAGCATTAAAATCGTATGCCGATCTGTTTTGCATATTTGGTGTTGCGATATTCTTTCAAATAACATGTCAAAAGTAGGAAGTGGCGATGGCCGTGGACAAATCATGCCACACGAGGGTCCATGTCAAAAGTAGGAAGTGGTGATGGCCATGGACAAAGCATGCCACATGAGGGGCCATCCTTTGTCATTTTCACTAATATTATTGACCTATATTTTGGTCATTAAAATACGAAACAAATGTATATTCTATGTAATCAGATTGTTTTTCTCCATTTTAATTAAAAGAGACCTTGTTGACAATTATCAACAGCATATCCATGCATGTTTCTTTGACGTGTGGACTCTCTAACGTTAGCTCATACATGTTCGAATGATTCTCGACTAATTATTATACAATTTTCCCTGATATTTTCAAACCTCTGATTTTTTTCATATTTTGTTAACAAAATCACTAAATCATACACGTGTAGAGCAAACATTATGATATAGCATTTGCGTTTCACTACCATTTCATATAACATTACAAAACTGTCCAAGGAACACTACTTCACTATCTGTATTTACATGAAGATGTATGACTCAAACGTGTATAGTGATTCACAGAGAGCTCGCCAGCCAATTTTGTTGTATATTTAATATTTAATATTTATATTTATATTTAAAGTCGGCTCCATGTCCACCTTTTAATTGTTACGAAGCTGTGGTCAGTTATATACATATATATAACATCGAACGGACCATTACTATGCGGTTTTTTTTTTACAAATGACCTTTGTAACATTTTGCATGTGCAGTTACGGCTGTAAATTTCAAATGCTTGTGAACATATTCCGAAATAATAATATTACTCAATGTCATCATCTATCGGCGTTTTTACAAACAAGCAGGCCCCGGTTTCGATATTGGATTGACGGTTTACATGGTAGAAGACTAAACTGGAATATTTTTATCATATCATCAATAACAAAAAGTTTTTCTTACGATACTAAAATGCATCTTGTCCTTTCCTTTGATGGAGAGACGAGACACATCTGCCCAGTAATTGAGTGTTTTTGCTGGAGTCCATTGTATAGTACATAGTTTCCCAGTAGTGAATGACTCATAACTCACATGTCATTTTCCGACTATAGTACAGATTTGACTGTACATGTTCTGTGGTGTAGGGCGACCTCTATATACAGGTGTGACTGTACATGTTCTGTGGTGTAGGGTGACCTCTATATACAGATGTGACTGGTACATGTTCTGTGGTGTAGGATGACCTCTATACACAGGTATCACTGTACATGTTCTGTGGTGTAGGGTGACCTCTATATACAGTATGACAGTACATGTCCTATGGTGTAGGGTGACCTCTATAATACAGGTATGACTGTACATGTCCTGTGGTGTAGGGTGTCTTCTATAATACAGGTATTACTGTACATGTCCTGTGGTGTAGGGTGACCTCTATATACTGGTATGACTGTACATGTTCTGTGGTGAAGGGTGACCTCTATATACAGGTGTGACTGGTACATGTTCTGTGGTGTAGGGTGACCCCTATATACAGTATGACTGTACATGTCCTGTTGTGTAGGGTGACCTCTATATACAGGTGTGACTGGTACATGTTCTGTGGTGTAGGGTGACCTATATATACAGTATGACTGTACTTGTCCTGTTGTGTAGGGTGACCTCTATATACAGGTATGACTGTACATGTCCTGTGATGTAGGGTGACCCCTATATACAGTATGACAGTTCATGTCCTGTGGTGTAGGGTGACCTCTATATACAGGTGTGAGTGGTATATGTTCTGTAGTGTAGGGTGACCTCTATAATACAGGTGTGACTGGTACATGCTCTGTGGCGTAGGGTGACCTCTATATACAGGTGTGACTGGTATATGTTCTGTAGTGTAGGGTGACCTCTATAATACAGGTATTACTGTACATGTTCTGTGGTGTATGGTGACCTCTATATACAGGTATCACTGTACATGTTCTGTGGTGTAGGGTGACCTCTATATACAGGTGTGAATGGTATATGTTCTGTGGTGTAGGGTGACCTCTATATACAGGTGTGACTGGTACATGTTCTGTGGTGTAGGGTGACCTCTATATACAGTTGTGACTGGTACATGTTCTGTAGTGTAGGGTGACCTCTATAATACAGGTATTACTGTACATATTTTGTGGTGTAGGGTGACCTCTATACACAGGTATGACTATACATGTTCTGAGGTGTAGGGTGACCTCTATATACAGGTATCACTGTACATGTTCTGTTGTGTAGGATGACCTCTGTAATACAGGTGTGACTGGTACATGTTCTGTGGTGTAGGGTGACCTCTATATACAGTATGATTATGCAAGTTATGTGGTGTAGGGTGACCTCTATATACAGTATGATTATACAAGTTATGTGGTGTAGGGGGACCTCTATATACAGTATGATTATACAAGTTATGTGGTGTAGGGTGACCTCTATATACAGTATGATTATACAAGTTATGTGGTGTAGGGTGACCTCTATATACAGGATGATTATACAAGTTAGGTGGTGTAGGGTGACCTCTATATACAGTATGATTATGCAAGTTATGTGGCGTAGGGTGACCTCTATATACAGTATGATTATGCAAGTTATGTGGCGTAGGGTGACCTCTATATACAGTATGATTATGCAAGTTATGTGGCGTAGGGTGACCTCTATATACAGTATGATTATACAAGTTCTGTGGGGTAGGGTGACCTCTATAAACAGTATGATTATGCAAGTTATGTGGTGTAGGGTGACCTCTATATACAGGATGATTATACAAGTTAGGTGGTGTAGGGTGACCTCTATATACAGTATGATTATACAAGTTATGTGGTGTAGGGTGACCTCTATATACAGTATGATCATGCAAGTTCTGTGGCGTAGGGTGACCTCTATAAACAGTATGATTATGCAAGTTATGTGGTGTAGGGTGACCTCTATATACAGGATGATTATACAAGTTATGTGGTGTAGGGGGACCTCTATATACAGTATGATTATACAAGTTATGTGGTGTAGGGTGACCTCTATATACAGGATGATTATACAAGTTATGTGGTGTAGGGGGACCTCTATATACAGTATGATTATACAAGTTATGTGGTGTAGGGTGACCTCTATATACAGGATGATTATACAAGTTATGTGGTGTAGGGGGACCTCTATATACAGTATGATTATACAAGTTATGTGGTGTAGGGTGACCTCTATATACAGGATGATTATACAAGTTAGGTGGTGTAGGGTGACCTCTATATACAGTATGATTATACAAGTTCTGTGGCGTAGGGTGACCTCTATAAACAGTATGTCTATACATGTTCTGTGACCTTTATATACAGGTATTCATTCATTCATTTCTTTATTTCTCCAAATTTGAGAGTTACATGTACATGTATATGGACATAAATATAAATAAATACAGAAAAAGAAATCATATGTAAAGTAAAGAAAAAGGAGATATTCTAAAGTGGACAAAACTAATGTATGTAACTAGACCTGTAAAAGACTCCAGGCTAATGAACAAAGCAAACAAATATGATTACAAAGATTCACTAATATATGATGGAGTATAATGATAATGGTTATACACTGTATTGAGACGAGTCAACAAAGGAACGCAATTTATATATATATATACGTGAACCTCACTGTGAATTGACATAAGGGTTTCCATGTACAATCATGTTAGAAAGCGATTTAAATTACATAAAAAAGGTTTACAGACAATATAAGGATATTAGATCTACTGGAGTGTTAGAGCTGAAGCTCTCTCCGCAGTCAGACAGTCTCGGATAAAGGGAAACATTACATGATCCTCTGCCAGGGCGAGAGCGATATCGTTGGAGGGACAGCCAAGTATAGTGGAAATCTGTTGTTCCCTTTCAGCTTGATCTAAATACACATATACATGTACGGGATAGACCCTAACTATATTTGTATAAAGGACATCTCTAAGCGAAGCTAATTCAACACTGTTGCAATCTAAGATACAATGGGCGACAGCGTCAGAGACAAACACATTACATTTATCACAATGAAGTTCGCAATCAGGTGGGGTAATCCATAATTTAGAAACTCGTTTACAGATCTCAGCTTAGTTTGGAGATAATTTTGATAAATACCACAGAATGGAAGGTGAAAGCTCTGTATGAATACTCCTAAATCTGCATATATTACAATTCTGACTCAGACGCTGTGTCCACTGTTCACTTACTTTACAAAGCAATACATTTTTCACAATATGCTTCCACATTAGTTTGTTAGGCATGCAGCAAGACTGTAAATAATCGTACAAGTAAAACTGCAAATCGTAATTATGAAATATATTCCATACACCGGGTATAAACCCTCTTTTGTATTTATAAATACTAAGATACATATGATATATACGTAACAAAAACAACTGTTTTGCAGTACATTGGGATTTTACATTACACAAAGCAGTGAAAAATCGTAGTTTGCATTGTTCTACATACAGAGAAAGTGATGGTAAAACCTAACATTCCCAGTACAATATCCGACCTAGTGCGAACTGGGAAATTCTGCATAAGTTTTGCACAGAAATTGTGTGTGGTCTCTTAACGACGCCAATCAGTAGAGGAAAGCGCGAACCAGAGCTCACAGCCAAATAACGCTCTTGGAAGCACGATTGATTTATAGAGTTTCAAACTTGTTAAAGGATTAAGTCCTGAACCAAGTAAGTTACACTGTATAAGAGCAAAGAATTGCCCACGTAACTTATGCACAACTTCATCAAGCTCTGGGCGACCTGGACTGAATTTATCTGTAAATATACCGACATGTGTAGTACTAGTTGACTCCTGTACTTCAGTTGGCCCAAGATACCACTTCCGCTTTGAATTAGTATAGGCATTT